GCCCGCCCCCTTCCCCAGGGCAGCAGAGGCACAGCACGCGGTCGGGCGCGCGAAGAGACACTCCGCTCCCGGGGTGGACGTGGCCAGAGGGGAGCGACTCGGGCGGGCGGGAATGAGTGGAGCAGGGCGGGTGCCCACCTGGGGACAGGAGGTTGGGGTTGTAGAGCTGCCTGGCCCAGGCTGATTAGGAGTCAGGGCGAGGGAGAACTCAGGTGCTTAATTTCTAACCACCCCCTTCAGCTTTGTGCAATGCCCCCAGCCAGTGGGCAGCCCCCACGCCTCACCCCCCAAGATAAGGTAGCTGGTTAGCCCATGACAAAACAGCAGCAAATAGTCACGCCAGGGGGTGACCAGTGATCCCCGCCTTGCTCCAGTCGACCCAGTGCCTTGCACTCAACCTCTCAGCTGGGCCGTGGCCCACCCCAAGTGCCAGTCCTGTGGCAATGGGAGAATTGCCCCTGGGCATTTCACTCAAACTGGGCCAGCTTCTCCCTCACAGGAGCAAAAAAACTGGCTGGAAACAAGCCCCCATGACATGGGAGACCATCTCTGCTCCTTCAGCCCGTGGGCTCGTTCTCGGGGCAGACCTGGCGTAGCCCATTTTGGCCGGACCGATTCCTGTGTGATCTGCTGCTGCTCCATTGTTACCACTTGGCACCACCCACTTAGGGCACCTCTACACAGCAGGGCTAAATTCTAAACAGGCTACCCAAATAGGCTTATTTCAAATGTGGGCACGTCTACACAGCGCTTATTTCAAAATAGGTTTACATACAATGAGGTTTACAGAAGTTGGAGTAAGAAGTCCATTATTTCAAATTTATTTTGAAATAATGGGCTTGCTGTGTAGACGCGCAATATGTTATTTCGGAATAATGCTGCTGTGTAGACGTACCCTTAGGTATTCTGAAGGAAAAACAGAAATAGGAACCAGGAAGTTCGTTTTAGCTGGCATTTAGATTATCTTTTCTAATCAGGAGTTGCAATGTCCCACAGCTATAGTAAATTGCACTGCTTTTCTTTCTCAGTCAGATCTTTTATGAAACTGAAGAGTATTCTAAAAGAAGTCTCAAACAAACTTCAACTCCAAAACAGAAAAGGTGGGATTTTGCTCTTGTGTTAGCTTTACACTGTAACTCACTGATCTCAATGAAATTGTTACCTATATACACTACAGTGAGGGCAGACTCTGGCCCACTTGATAATGGTTAGACCTGGTATCAGATTGTACTACACCATGAATGTGGCCCATAAAGTATTTTAATACAGTCACTTGCATGGGTATAAAATGCGTTTTATCACAGGACATTATCTTTTAATTCATGATTAATCTATAATTTCTGGAAACTCCATGCTGATCCTGGAAGTTTGGCAACCCTAAGCACACCTGAGAACTAGAACCCTGCAAATCTGCACATTTCTGCTTTATATCCATGGATGCAGATATCCGCGGCTTAGTTTTGTGGCTATGGATGAAAATACACATTTTGTATTCGCACAGGGCTCTACTGATAACAGACAGGAAATAGTACTATAACCCCCTGTGCACATAGACTAAAAATATCTCATGGAAACAAGTTCAAAATTGCAAAGACAAGAGCAATAAGGTTTTCCTAAAGCCAAAGCTAAACAAAATCATATGAGTAGAGAAATGTAAAGAAAACAGAATATGAAAAAACTGAAAATAAAGCAGTATGACTG